GACGGATGTTGTTATTATACGATAAAGTTGTTTAAACGGCACTTTTTCTGATTGTACTTTTGTACGAATTAGTTCAAATGGTGATACGCTCGTAACGGCAAAAATTCGCGAACATGCACCAGCAATAACAGGAAGAATAGGATTTGGTTGATTTTCATTATAGCCAAGCAATTCTTTTGCTTTCATATAAGATGTAAAATAGATAACAACAGTTGGTATACTAACACAGAGTGCTGGCGTTATACCACTCCACAAAGAGAGTAGCCCCTCGGAACGAATAACTTTAATAAATGTATCATATGTTCCATTGTAGTGAATTTGCTTTGTTAAATAATGTCGACATGCTGTTGTTGATGGTAAAGACGTAGTTGATATCGATTGTGGAGAATGACTAGATTTTGTTGATATTTGTCGAACGGCATTCGATGTTTGCGATTGTAATCGAACTTTAACAACGTCAAATGGTCTAATGACAGAAAAACAAAACAAATCATATGGGCTACGAATGATGCTAACATCGAAAAAAATTTACATACGTCATAAAACATGCTGTTAAAACTCCTCCCCTTCCTGAAGCCAAAATTTGTTGAAAAGCTGTCAAAGATTCATTCTTCGCATTCAGAGAAGAAATCGGAGAATTTGTTGCATTGTTCGAAGTCATTATCTTTCAATGAAAAGTGTTGTAGATGTAAATTGCTAATTTATCAACAAAAATCGGGAAAAAAAAATTTAGACAGCGATTGTTTGAAGGATGTCTTAGAAGAACAGAATGCGATATTATTGGTTCAGTATACATCCGTTGTACAATAAAAACTAATGCTGGCTAACTAATTTTTTTCTCAAGATTAGAATAGTTTTGCGCTTATCGATGTAAAGGATGTATACGATAAAAATACCATTTACAATGGGTCGTGTTTCTTCCGAAGAAATTTATTTTGATTTAATCGATATCAACTACGTCTTTACCATCAACAACAGCATGTCGACATTATTTAACAAAGCAAATTCACTACA